CATTGTTCTGATTGAGAATGTATTATATTCTTTCTAAATTTAAATTTATCGAATGCCTAAAACGACAAATAAATCAAATGAAAATATTTTAAATTCCACCAAATATCGAGAATTTACTATGTGAGTAAAACCAATTTCAAATGTATATTAGATTCAATTTGGAGTTCCCTGATCACCCAACATATTCCATGACCTATTTAATATTCAATTAGTTCAAACTCAAATATTATGCAACTATGGATTATTTATAATTGAAAGGGAGGATTAAATCAGGTTCGATTTTGGTATAAACCTTTGAGACTGCAGAATAATTAGGGTAATGTGAAATTCGAAATTTATAAATCAATTTATTTAAGTTAGAAGAAGAAATTAAATAGACCAACTATAGACATTTATCCATATATCAAATTATTTTCAAGAAATTGATTTACAAAAAAAAATGGGTATTCGATTCAATTTGGAATTTACATAATAACTCCCGTGGGCTTTTGATAAATTTTGATTTACGGTATGAACATTTTAATTTATAACTGGCATAGAGGAAAACAACATAGCTATACTTTTTGAAACATTAGAAAATTTCTTTCATACCTAAGACTTAGTTCCAATGCTCATTTGACGATAAGTGTGGCTGAAGTAAGTTAGTGAATTTAATCTCAAATTAATGGCTAAAAGGGGAGGGAAATAACCATACCAGGCTCATTTGATGAATAAAGTGAGGATCTCCATTCAGTTCCTAATGTGGCTAAATTTAGAATATATTCCATATTCAAATATGCTTCAATAGTTCAGAAGTGCAAAATATTCAATTTTGTTCATCGTTATCATTGATCCATTTATTAAAAATAGTAACCGGAATAGGAGATAAGCTTCCGTTTTTACATCCGCTTATACAGCGACTAAAAGGGAGGCAGCCGAATATATTTTCATTTAGACCGGTGGTTCCCAACCTTCTCTAACAAATTCCCTTCTTGGACCAATTTTAGGCTCCTAAATCCTCCAGACTACATATGAAAAAATTTTTATTCACACAAAATTTCCTTGTGATGCGTACAACTTGTACACTGGCTTTCGTATGTATTTTGAATAGCTGATTAATTATGCATAAATATGTATCACAATAATACTAAATTAGTATTACTACACCCAAATACAAATTCTCCTCCCCAAATACAATTGAATTTCTTCCTGGTTGGGAAACCTTGATTCAGACAAAATGATCTTAATTCAGTTGTCAACAAGGATGGCATGATCATGAACGCAAACACTCCAAACCTAACTTACTTTTTCGCAACATTAATTAGTAACATTATCCCAAAATGACTTTAGTTCAAAGGTTAATCATACTCAGTCGGAGTAATAAACCACCAATCTTGAATTAACAAAGGCACAAAATTCGCTATTTTCTTTGGTAACTCAATTTAAGACTATTATTTTTTTAAGAAAGTTCTCAAAAGCAAACATCTGTACTAAAGTGGAAAACACAATGAAAATTTGAGTTTTTAGAAACCGCAAAAGGTTATTGAAAATTAAATGGAATAGAATCACCTTGTATTAGTGAACGAATTTCTCATTTGTAACAAATTCAAGTACAGATACTCAGACAACTTATTGTGACAATATTTTTAAAAACTTTGGAGCTCATAAGAGCTAGTGACAATGCGGCCTAGTTGTTAATAAGGTTGGATTATAACTATTTTGACATGGCAGGTTAAATATCCTAAAAATAATAGTAAATCCTTATCATATACTCCTACAGAGAATTGTTCAAAGTGGAAGGTGTGAAATTGTCTTCTAAAATAGTTATGTGTGTATCCTTTTAACATAATTTTCACCACAATGAGAAATGTGGATAATCATGTTTTCAAATTTTGAAATATTTCCAAACCTGACAGATTTCTGTCATAATTATACTTGCAAACGTTAACCTTTAATAAAACTCCTTAGTCATTTCCATCACTTTTAAAAAAGTTCAGTCAAATATTCCCAGAGCTAGTGAAAGCAATATGAAGATTTGTTTAAAGCAAGGAAGTCCCTGCGCTTAAAAATGAATTATTCCACGTGAAGACTGATGGTGTTACTAACACTGACATGCTAAGAGCTATACAATGGCAGAATAGAAAGTATTACCTAAGCATAAAAAATCCATTTTAAACTGCTATTGGTAAAGTCAGTTCTAATCAATACTGAGCAATTTCCTATTGAAAGCGTGACTTGAATAAAAACCATACAAAACAGGAAAAGAGTGGAATTATCTAGCTCGATTGATAACATGGATTATAAACTTATGGAAGCACAAAATTACCTGCTTATTTATACAGGGTGTCTCAAAATGAATGAAACCCAAAAAATTGGTAATCAAATTAATGGGTTTCAGTTATTTTGGGACACTGTGTAGTCATTAGATATTAGTGGGCACTTGTACAGAGCATTGTTCGGACCAAAAGGTGTGATGAATGCTGAAATAAAAAAGACTGTTGGAACAATCAGATTTCTAAGAGTATAGTAGAAAATGATAAAGAATTTTAAATTTATCAAGAATCACAATTTTACCAAACAAAATCGAATTTTCAAAAAACTTTCTTGATGTAATCATTTTAAACTAAACGTTGTGTCGTTGTTTGATAACAAACTTTGGTTTCCTTCCCTTCCCAGTAAAATTATGTGTTCGACTTAGACTAATTTTGAAGGATATTTTTTACTGGATGAAAAAAATGAACTCAACTATGACTATTTTGTTTTGTTTTGACTGGTTTATTAAGATACGCTAATTAAGTAGAATTGAAATTTATTTACTACATTCCATTCCATACAGGTCGTTATTCGCAGCTCAAGCCCAGCAAGACATTTTTTAATCATCTTGTATCAAGACTGAAAGCCTTCCCATGAATAATATATGCAGATGTTTATGGCTTTTTGAGATTTTGTTTTGAATTTGAGCACGAACGGAAAAAGCGAGCCCAAAATATCATCATTTTTCAACCATGGGAAGACCAATTAAAAATTCAGGCATGTAACCAAAATTTTCATGTTTCAATAACCTTGCAACCAAGAAGGACGAGTGCCAAATAACATAATATTTAAACAAGATATTCTTCAAACTGGAATTTGAGAAATGTTCAAAATTGAGTCATATTAAGAGGCAGAGCACCACAAATTTAATTTTAGTTTTATCAGCAATTTAGTGGAATCTATGTTATGATCTCAGCTCAACCAATGCAGGATTTTTTTTTAAAAACACTCTATTTTCATTTCAAAACATCCTAATTTATTCCCAAATTTTAGAAATAATAATTTGAAAATCACTCAAATATTCGATGCATTTTGTACATTGACCTCAATAACAATATATTCAGAATAAACCTTGATACATTGTTTTAAATTTAGAAGTATCTTATTTTTGTTCATTATAAATTATTGAGAAGGAAAACATGATAGCATTTTGTCATCCATAACCTCTGTGCAAACAAATCTTAACCCTTACCAGCGAATACCACAATGACAAACTCCTGGTATTTTAAACCATTCTACAAACAATCCATGGTATTATCCATGGCCTAATGCATCAATCCAATCAATTACTAACTAAGCCTGGGATTAGCGTATGGATTATTCAGCATACCATAATAAATCACTCTTAACATAACACAATTTTTAATTAGCTTAAATGTGTTCTGAAGGACTTCTCATAAATAATAGATGTAGGTTGGTAGAGATCACACTTAGAGATGACTGGGAAACTCATATTTCAAATATATCATTGATTTTTTAAAGCTAAGCACATGAATTTGTAGTTGTTTCATTTACAAATGTCTATAGAATTATGTTTTGAAGAAAAATTAATAACCAATGTTATTTGGAGAGAATTAATTCAACAAACTTAAATGATCTAACTTATTATATCAGTAAAAATTTGACATTTTGGTGCAAATAAATTTAATTGAGTAATATTTGGAATATCTTAATTTTGTTGCAAAAAAAAAATTGGTTCAAAAAATTTCCCAATCAATATTAAATCCATGAAGAATTATAGAATAGGCCTATACTCTAATCCAATTACCAAGTTTTGATATCACATAAACGAAATTCCTCACAAAATACTGTTGCGAATAATTTGCATTTGGAAAGTATATGCGGTAACATATATTGAATATTTACTAATGAAAAAACTTTTTCTGTTTTGATCAGTTATCAAAGATTACATAAAATATATTTTGACCAAAATTTATGTTTCACTCAACCAATGTCCAAGTTCAGAAATGAAACTGTAAATATTGCTATTCTAGAATAAGACTTAACCAAATATCTTGATTTTAAAATATTTGGTTCTTTATTATGCGATATGAAATTATTTATCATATATACCATGTTCCCAACATTTATGGTTAGTGGCGACCTTAGGAAGGCTTTAAGCACTCATTGCTCTCGTTTATCATTCCAGTGGTATTTATAATGTTATTTTGAGTGGTAGATTCCACATTATGTTCAAACAATTCATGCTCAACAAAGTGAAAACCACCCATGAAATAACCTATGTAGCAATGAAACTGGGATGAGCGACTATTATATATTTTCCATATATTAGATCGATAGAACCTTTTAGGGAAAAGTGAAAAATTACATCTGATAAAGTAAGAAAGCTCTTAATGCTTTACTTTTAAATTATTTTCAGAAACTATACTTAAGAATTTGCTACAAATCAGATATTAATAATGCAATATTATTGAAAACAAGAAATTTGTCGTAACCATCAACCGTGCAAGTGACACATGAATGCAAATGTTGCATAAACAATTTTAAAAAACCCGAAATTGGAGAAATGATAGGGAACATTTTATTTTACCGTGACCATTTCTGAATACCATGAAATGAAAGAAAGGTTACGCATTATATAGGGTATCCATAAAGTCTTTGAATTTTCTAAAATCGCAAAGGGAATTTATCGATACCATATATTATTTTGGTGCTCACCGATGTATTAAATGAAGTAGAAAATTAAAAAACCTGGTAAACATACCTGGTTGAGATATATTGAGAACTGACCTCATAACAAACAAAACTGAAATTATAAATGGACTTTATGGAAACCCTGTGCAATAAGTGTTGGAAATATGATGACGGCTCAATAATAACATCCATAATAAATTCAATTTACCGGTTAGTCAAATTAATGCGAATTAGAATAATAAAAATTTCTATTTTTTAAATGTTCCGATTTTGAATTGCAATCATGGCCCAAAAAGCCAAAATTTAATGAATTTTACTACATTAATTTTCTAACTTTATAGACTTATTTTAAAGTGAAATTGCAAAATACAGCAACCTCCTAAATTGTGTGAAAACTAACTCGATTTACACTAACTGAATAGAAAGCTAAAATGTAAAATTCACATTTGCATATGTTTCTACTCTTAAGCATTTTAGACAGTAAGATTTAGCAGAAATGGCCAAATACAATTCACAAAAATTATACCAAATAACTTTTTTTATAACTTTTATTTACTATAGCTGAATCTATATTTATTTCCCACTATATGAGTCACATACAGTTTTAGAATAGTAAGTACTCAACCATAATTATATCATAGGTCACATATTATTATATTCTACACAAAGGGTATATAACCGCTATTCACAAGTGATAAGCTTTATTCGTAATTCATTTTTGATTTCAAAAAATAGTTCAACTAAGTTTAATGATGAATAATTCCATCCAGTTCACTAGGACTTTTAATTTATATAGAAATTAAGTGACTGAAGTTTATTAAGAGATTCCAATTGTCAAATTATACAGTAAGTGGAGATTGAATGAATGTAACAGCTGTTACTGTCAAGTGTTGCTAACTACTCACGATATCTTCCAGATAATATTGTTATGAGAGTCACAATATACTGCTGAAGTAAAGGGTGTCCATAAAGTCTTGATATTTTTTAAAATTGCAAAGGAAATTTATCGATACTATATATTGTTTTGGCCCTCACAGATGTATTGAATGAAGTAAAAATTCTTGAACAATTACTGATTAAAAACAACAAACCTGGTTAAGATATATTGAGAACTGACTTCATAACGAAATTGAAATTGTAAAGGGACTTTATGGACACCCTGTATATTATTAAATGAATGGTGAAGTGGAACAAAAACGCCTCAAATACAAGAGAAAACGATTCCATTGATTGCTACCAAACAATTACCCATATAGTCAACAACAAAGGTATATTTTTCCATTGCTTCTCATACCTATTTGCAAAATTGCACTGATAAATAACATTGTATGAGAGGAAAGGGAGACAAAATTTTAAACAAATTTGAAATGCTCAATATATAATATGGGTAAATTCTTTTCAAGAAGCTATTTATTTATTCATTTCTTTATAATAGATTAATCAGTAATAAATCAATTTGTTTGAATTAGTCTAGTCGGGGCAAGTAAAAGAAAACCCCCAAGTTCAAATAAACCCCATCCCCCCTTTTTGTAGCCAATTAGATGATACGCTATCATAACATTAGTAATCAGAAAAAGAATCATGAATTTTGTTCATTGTACACTTATTTTTTCACCTTATACACGCTTCCATATGGATAGCAGCACAACACATGGAAAAAGAGTTCAAGAAAAGTTCAGTATAGAATCAAAAAGGTTTCAACTATAGTTTGTTGGAACATAAAAATATACTGCAATATTGTAGACTGAATTATAATATATTACCATTATTATGCTGCATAAGCCCACTCAGTGTTCACTGTCAAAAATTTCAATCCAAGTCAAAAAACAAATGAAAACATTGAAAAATGAACGTGAAATTCAGTGTTATTCTAGCTGCATCACCCACTGTAATATAATACTGATCTTACATTCAACATTACAGATTTTCATGCATAATTAAAAGACACAATAGAGGCATAGTAGAGTACTTGAACAATAAAAAGCTTTATTGTTACCCCATGTCAACATGAAGACCTTCTGGAGAAGAACTACTGTTGTCTTCTGGTATAAGTTTAATGGTTTTAATAGAAAATATTGATTCGTTATCGGCAAGTCCATGAATCTCGTGTGGCAAACGACTAAACATTGGATGCTTCATAGCTTCCATTGCACTCAATCTTTGTGTCGGTTCGAATTTTAATAAACTGCTAGCAAATTCTTCTCCAAATTCAATCACTGATAATACAGACACTAAAACACAAAGTTGAATTTCATGTCTTGGGATCAGAAAACAAGAATAATAGTAGTCATGATAATGTGGTAGGTCTGTTAAACGAGACCAGGTGGACGGATTCGGAGTTCCAAGAAGGTCAAATATCTTTCCAAGCTGATCACAGGCATCAGTTTGTCCAGGACAGACTGGTGTACCCGTCAACATTTCAAGGAAAATGCATCCAACTCCCCACATGTCAAGAGAAGTTGTATAGTCAGTAGATCCCAAAAGTACGTCGGGAGGTCTGTACCACAGTGTAACCACCTCATTAGAATAAGTATTGGTGGGAATTGATTTTGCTCTAGCGAGTCCAAAATCAGCCAATTTCAATTCCCCAATCTCACTTATTAACAAATTTTGAGGTTTTAAATCTCGGTGTAAAATTTTCCGCTTATGGCAAAAATGTAAACCACGCAATAATTGGAACGTAAAAAGACAAGCGTTGCGAGGGTTTATTCCTTTTGTACACCCCATATTCTCCATATATAAACTCAAGTCAGTGTGCATGAACTCAAATACTAAGGTTAGATTCGAATTTGTATGAATTATGTCGAATAAAGTTACAATATTCGCATGTTTTAATGTCTTCAAAAGCGACACTTCTCGTATCGCTGTAAAAGGAGTCCCTTCCTCAGAATTTAACGCTACTTTTTTCAGCGCAACAGTTTGATCAGAATCTTTGAATTTTCCTTTGTACACAGTTGCATACGATCCTTCTCCAAGGAGTTCTAAAAATTCGTAACTGTCAATTTTTCCAAACGGAGAATTCGGATCAGTATATGCAGGTGTAGAATATCGTCGACCAGAACCTTTTCTTAAATGCAAGCTCTCAGATTTCGATCTCAGCTTCGGAACATAATTGTCTGTAGTTTGATCTTCAGATAATAATGACAATGCACCTCTGTTACCATGGAAACTGTTGGCATGGTACATATTCACCTCAATCTTGGAACATTTTTCACATATGTTCGAGGGTTGACCCCAACTGTTGCTTCTTTGGTTTTTTTCTTCTACATCAAGCAGAGCTTTATTGAGAATCATGCTGTTCTCATTTTTATCCCATTGCACTGGTTGACACTCGCAAATGTCTTGAAGAACAGAATCTGATGCTGACGAAGCAAAATCACTCGCAAACTCGATAGAGTCCGGACTGTCATTCTTTGACTTGGTTTTATCCTTGTCCTCGCCCGATGAAGCTAGACGACCAAGTTTTTCAGAAAATGTCCGTTTGAGACGTTTCATCATTCACAGAATACTATGAAATATTTTTAAATGCATAGAATGTATCTACTTTTATAATGCTGTTAAAAGAAAATATACCGTTATTAAACTTGGTTCTGCAAATGATATCATGAGTGAATAGCAAAAATAAGGTTAAAACGCTACGCTGTGATAATTCCCACATATACAATTACTATTGAGCAACACGTCAATGCAAAATACAAAAAGTAATAGAATTGACCACAAAATAAAATCACTAACTTTCAGATTTTTCTATCCAATTAAAGAGTCCAGCTGCACACTAACACAAATCTATTTCTGTAACGTTTCGTCTGAAACGTTACAGCCTTTCGAACGCCTTTCGAAGTCTGACTCCGGTCGGACGAAACGTTACAGAAATACATTTGTGTTAGTGTGCAGCTGGACTCTTTAATCGGATAGAATAGTCATGTTTATTCCAGCTACAGTATCCTTGCAGTATACGCATACGGATCCACTAGCATAAAGGCATAGAGAAAAGATAGGAAGTTAGTCTCGCGCAACTCAACTCAAATTTTTTTTTTCAGATTTTTGTTGTAAAAACAAATGACCCAAAAGAAATTTTAGGCGACCCAGATTTGGGTTCTACCCATAGGTTGGGAAACACTGCCATAGTGGGTTAAGACACCCATTACAGGCCTAGACTATATCATATCTACCTGTATCAGATGTATTTGATAACTTAATTTATTATGTCCCACCTTGATTTTCCAACCTGCTAACCGACTAGAGATGATAGGAAACTATCGGCACAATAGTCTTTTAATAAATCAACTTTTAATACCTCATATACGGCTGTAAGGTCATATAATCTAATGATATTTCACATGCACATGTTCCCAAATCAGAAGACAACACACCAAATCGCATATCACACTATACAAAAAAATTTCCACCTGCAAATTGGTATGAATAGATCAACTGAATAAAATATACAGTAACTACTAACTATGATCGGTAATCGCACACAGCAACCTGCAATGAAAATGACGGATAGCCTTACGCCTTGTAGCAACAGATAGCATGCAAACACAGGAAAATGTCCAATTAAATATTGTTCTTTTACGCCAGCTACCGGGATGTGGCAAAAATTGACAGCTTCGCGCAAAGTAAAGATTAATATCTCATTCCCCAAAACGGAACAAATGACAATTTTATTAATAATTTTATCATCCAACGTGTTGCCCTGTTCTTCTTCTGATGAGTGTTGCATACCTTAAATTGATTTAAAAGTTATCAATCAATCAATCAATTTTATTTTGGTCACTCCGAAAGAAACAAAACAATAACAAACGAACAAACAAAATGCAGAGGACCTGGAGGACGGGCATAACTTAATAAAAAAAGTTACAAACGTACAAGTACGTGCCTGTCCACCAAAAACAGTCAAAAGAACACAATAAAATAAAGACACGATATAAAATCGGGCATTACCTTTTAAATCAATTTAGGATGTGAGACACTGATCAAAAGAAGATCATGACAATACTTTATACAAGCTAGAATTCATAAAAAAAAATGTCGTTGCGGTTATTATATAGTGGAATATATTTTTTTTTTCAATAGAGAAATCTAATGTTACAAAAAAATTTGTTGTGGCTATTCAGAGAAAGATTAATGTCCGATTTTGTATCGTGTGTGTTCTTTGACTGCTTTTGGTGGACGTACTTGTACGTTTTTAACTTTGTCCTTAATTTATGCTCGTCCTCCAGGTCCTCTGCATTTTGTTTGTCGTTGTTTTGTTTTATGCCCGAGTGACATAAATAATAAGGATTGATATAGGACAGGGCTCGGCAACTTACGGCCATTGGGTCAGATGCGAACCGCGAAAGGCAAATCATCCGCCCGCGTACGAAGTATGAAGTTGCTAAAATCTGCTTGTCGTCGTATAGCCGTATGGGCTGTGTGGTGCATGTGTGCCATTGTTCTTGTTCCATGCAATCGATGGGTTTGATATGTGTATCATGTACACCTGTAGTATATATAATGATGTATATATGCGAAAATAACCGTGAATGTCCACGGGGCAAATTTCCATCAACATGATACAATTATTTATTTTTTCGATGAGAATCGAACGCATTCAAGACTTATAAGTTTCGCCCACTTTCTCTAGACGTTTCACTCTTTTATAGCTTTGGTCGAATCAACCCCTGCCGCGTGATTGAGACCTTGACATGCTTGCATAAGCGCAAATCGTCAGAAACTGCATACCCCCTTTCCATCTCCAACTAATAGAGCGTTCAATCATATAATTCTGGGAGATGCGCACAACCTGAACATAGTATGTGTACCAGGTTAGGGTTCAGGTTGTGCGCCGTCTTGATGCGCATATTTCGGGACGCCCAATTCTGTACGAGATTCGGGAAACAAAACATGTGCTCGAGTCATAGGCGTGGGGCCAATATATTCAACCTTGTTTCATGTTTTTTTAAGGCGACTTTGTGGCATTAGCGGTGAGACACAAACATAAACGACATTTTGACTTATTACCAATCCTTCCTCTGAACCAGCCAACCAAGATATATTAGATTGCGCACTACGCGGTTGCATAATTAAATCGACAGCATGTGTCTGCGGACAGCTTCAAGATATCAATGGCCTGACATTTTCGGAGCAAAGGCGCGAGAAAGCGTCTTATTAAAATATAAAAGTTCGCCTCCAAAAAGTCCTGCTGTATAAAAATTACAACACATAGTGAATATACATTCCTCTAAGCTCCAGAAACAGCATTTATTACAATAATTTATTCATTGCACATGCAAGTCCCAAATTAATACAACTGGTTTAAGACAAAAACCCATTTGTTCCTCAATTTCACCAATTATTATATTCCGAGAAACACAAACATAGACATAAAGTATTACACATAACACACCAACCAATTAAGAAAAAAATAAATGAATATTAACCAATCTTCAAGATAAGGCCAGATTTCCTGTGCAGTGGCAACCAGCAGTAATTTTCAGTAAGGCTGGTCAGATTTCAGGAAAACTTATACAGAGAACAGACATTTATTCGTAAGATTATGTGCAGTATAGGCTTCTTTGAATTTTTCGATTTTAAGGGCCATGATAGAAATCTGTTTCCCAAAATCTCTCAAATTTGTTGAATGATCAAGTTAGGTATCTGAACCAATTGATAATTTCAAAAAATTTAAGTTTTAAGCAGAAAAACAATAATAACATAACATTTTGAAATATTGAGTAAATAATCTGAAAATAGTAAATTTTTTTTTCCAAATCCTCGAATTCGATATTCTATTAATGAAATCAAAACTTATATTCTATGAAACAATAATATACATTAGCATATAGCATTATTTTTCATGATCAATGAATGGTCTGAATTTTGAAATGGCATATGAGCGGCCTAGCTTGCAGGTACGGTACTTTCGAAGGTAGAATTACATACTGCCAAATCATGAATTGTCACCTACTTGCTTATAGCTACAGTGTTTCCCCTAAAATAAGACCAACCGGAACCCTGAATTTCAAAAATGATTTTAATATAAGCCCTCCCCTTAAAATAAGACCTAGTCATTAACGTGAAATCTTTTTTGACCTATCCGATAGCAAAAAATCTCTTACACTTTTTTATTAATTGATAATTTGTTTTGCAGTTACTTTGATTAAAAACGTGTTATTATTAAGTAAATGGATATAGATTTTCATAATTTGTATACCTATTTGGAAATCTCATAATTCTCTACTTTGGAATTTTGTTTATGATAAATGAAAATAAAAGACATCTCTTGAAAATAAGCCCTAGTGTTATTCTTCGAAAGAAATTCAAAATAGGACCCAGTTTTATTTTCGGGGAAACTGTCTTTCATTTGGACTAGGCATTGAATATATCATGTCTTAAGTTTTAAGAAAGCAATACAACAAAAATGATTTAAACAAATAGTAAGGTTTTATAAGATATCTGATAGAAATACATACAATAAATTATTTCTGATGCAGCCAATGTGGATTCAGGTCATTAAAATATTTGCGAAGAACAATATTGTTCAACAATTTATATTATAAATTATTCAAACTGAACACCAAGAAATCGTTCGTAACACCACAAATATATAATATAGATAGGAAAAATTGCAAAATCCGAGTGACATGCTGATAATTTCACAATCAAATTTTTTCCTTATATAATCGAGTCAAGATGCAAGTGCAAGTGGCTTGATTTTAGCAAGTAAACTTAATATAACACCGTTAACAAATTTAAAAATATTCTCTAGTTTCTGTACAGGAAAAATCAATAATAAAAAATAAAAATATGACAATATTCCGGTTTCATTCTCCATTTAAAACACGAATAAAATTTTCTAAATGCAACAATCAAAATGAGGAATCGGGAATGAATATCACAGAAACTGGATGACAGATTCCATTAGTAAGGACGTATCAACCAGAGCTGACACCCATGAAAAAACTTAAGAGGAGAAAAGATTATTTCATCAATTTCAGTTTAATAATTAATTTTAATCATGCATCTTGGCCAACACTACAAAGTGGAATCAACTGGACGAGCTGTTTAAACTTGATTGAATTATATTCTAATTAGTCAAATGTGGTTAGACCAATTCAAAGACGTGTCATATTTAGCATCTAATCGAAAAGAGACATTTTCAGAAATTCAACTAATTTCAAGTACTGAGTACCAAAAACATGAAATATGCTACTAACAGAATAAGTCACAATTTGTTTCAGTATAGATTTATCAACAAGTAAGTTATTTTGGTGACACTCAAATGTAGATATTTCTGGTGATACACAACCTTAGTCTGCATATAAACAGATTCTGGCACCCCCCGAACAAGACATTGTGAACATGATCCAACCCCAAATTCCTATTTAGATTTTGCATAATAACGTTAACATCCCACACGATCTCGTGGAATGAGTCTTAACTCCGAACCATGTTTCAGAAAAACATTTCCAGCATTCTGGGCAGGATTTATCCCTATTCCATCATTAGTAATAATTGCAGTTGTAGCAGGTGGCACTTGAAATTGTTCTGCTGCAAATTTGAGTACTGCTGTGA